TATATATATATATATATATATATATATATATATATACAATATATATATATATATATATATATATATATATGTACTGTGTATTTACTTATCAGGATTATTTTTAAAAATGGCGAACACGATGTGGACCGATTAGAAATCCTGACTAAAAGAACTCTGATAGAAAATAACTGCAGCAAAATGCGTGTCGTGAAAGATTTAAGTAGAAACATTTTTTACACGATTTATGCTCTTTCACTCACGGAATTGAACTGCTTAGATTACTCTTCGTTTTTTTATGATAATAGTGTCGAGATCAATACAGTTACTAGTGAATATTGAATATTAAAGCGAAGAAATAATTTAGAAATGGCGTTTTTCGCGAGATCGAAGGAGCGTTTGCAATTTATCTGCTATCGTTATTTAGCCGCTCAAAAATGAAAAAAATAACTTGACTAGTTTGCGAATATTTATTAAAATTTCATTGTTTGTATCTGTGAGCTTTATGACGCTTAGTGTTGTTTCTCAGCTTATAATATAATTTTGAAAGAGTCTGTATATCACTTTTAATGGTATGCAATATTTAAAGAGATGCTGAGAGTGTCGCGCACGCATCGATGCTTATACATTCGTAGTATTCTCTTAAATATTTTACGATTTGACGAAAAGTAATCCCGACTATCCCGTTGATGTGTGAAACGGGGGATTTTATTTTTTTATTAACTTAACGCTGTACGCTCCAGTCGCTCATTTCCATTCTCGCGGGTAAACACGATTTGAAGTTTCGGCCGTTTTCAGGACATCGATGGCCTCGTTGCTCGTTAGAGGATGTGTTTTTCGCGCGTTTCGGACGATTGGTAGCCGGCGTCCGTCGTATACGCCAGTGGGAGTTTTTCGCACGTTCTCTAAGTTCGTGGCCCTGACGTTGAAAAATTTCAGTCGTACAAACCGGGCCAAGGTCGTTGTTATTATGGCACTAGGATCTCTGCCTATTGCATGAAACCTCGAAATGGCTATATTACCGATAGTTATATTACTCGAAGTTTCCCCTGATGACGCTTTTTTATTATTTCATGTATTTATTAGCTCATGTTCCAATATTCAACTACGTTTCAGCGTAGATTCATATTTCTAAAAATGTCAACACCAGATAACTTTAAAATACGAGCAAAATCTGTGTTTTGCACAGAGTGTATTCACGTTTAAATATAACTCTAGGAGTTTTATCGCTCGGAGAGAGACTGATTTTATTCGAATTTTGTGTCTCACGGAAAATATGTTAACCTGCACGCACGTTGGTTTCGCGGTTAATACTTCCAGCAGTCAGTAATTGGAATGCATACATTATCCTCATTTGCGATCATCACGGATGAAAGCGTAATATCCAACAATAGTGCGTCACGCTCTGCCGTGGACATGCATATGTGCGTGCCGTGAACATGCATATGTGCGTGCCGTGGACATGCATATGTGCGTGCAGATTACGATGGCGTATGCGTAACGTGAATTTGCGGCCGCGCGAATGCGTTTATGCGCGGACTTGCTTGTGTATCTCATAGTTCTGAAATTGAGGGCAAATTTATTACAAATTTTCGCGCGCCCGAGTATCGTTTTGTATCGGCCGCGCGATCTGCCGATTTACCACGCATTGAGTGTTTGCGCGAGAGTAATCCTAGCCGCACACGCTACTAATAAACCGATTAAAAAGCGCGCGAGTTAACTCCTGTACAAATTTATTCGTGCGTTTGACAAAAGTCGGCACCCGTTGATTCGCCGTTGCATTTAGTGTGGACATTCTCTTGATCGCCGATGTGCAAATCGTTTTATCACGGTATGGCATTCATGTTGAGTGCAAACTGTGGGGATTCCCGTAGTGGCAACACGGCGGATGAAAAAGTTGCTTAACGGGTTCTCTGTATCATTACATTACCGATTCAATTTAAAAGGGTTTCTCGGGGGAGTTTGGAAGTGTGGGCGATACTGTTTTTCAGTATGCAAAAAGCCCCACCGTGTGAGGCTGGGAAAAGCTTTCTAGGAAAGGGCTGTTACTTTTATGAGCGCGCGTGCGAATCAAAGCGAGCCAGCGAAATAATTAATCGGTAGGTGATAAAAGGATATATATAAAAAATAGACAAAAATGTATAGTCCAACGGCGATTTAAATTGTTGTTGGATATTACGCTTTCATCCATGATGACCACAAATGAAGATAATGTATGCATTCCAATTACTGACTGCTGGAAGTATTAACCGCGAAACCAACGTGCGGGCAGGTTAACATATTTTCCGTGAGACACAAAATTCGAGTAAAATCAGTTTCTCTCCGAGCGATGAAATTCCTAGAGTTATATTTAAACGTGAATACACTCTGTGCAAAACACAGATCATTTTGCTCGTATTAATTTACATTGAGGCAGCTAAGTAAGTGTCGTGGAAAAAAAACCACAATGAGATAACACGTCGTCTTTTAGATAGAGAGTAAAAGGAAAACGTGATCGTTACTTGTGGCGACAAAGAGATGAATATGAGAGACACGAATTTGTGCGATTTTCTCTCTCTCTCTCTCTCTCTCTCTCTCTCTCTCTCTCTTTGTGAAGCTCCTCGCTGATTCGTGTGTTGGAAAGGTAAGAATCTGACGAAAAAAGAACAGAATTTCATTTCCCGTAATCGATACATTATAGGCATCCGATTTGCTCCGCCGAATCTTCTAATATCTTGCTAAAAATTGTGTTTGTGCATTTTTGCTTTGTGCCTTTATCTCGTAAAACGTAAGCATATTATCAGTCAAATGGACAACACGCACAAAGAAACATTTATCCTTGAAAATCTTTTCAAAACTTTTTACTCTCTTTCGCGACACTCTCCGTCAGGCCTTTTTATGGGTCAACAGATAGAAATATCTTTTGCTTCTTACGGAAGTCTATTAAGTTACAAGGATTAAAGTTTATTTTTAGATTATTCGATTTTTCTTTTGCCACCCGATCGCAAATGGGTCAGAAATATTTTACGTGCGGAAGGGGGCAAGGATGTTATCGGGTGCAGTGAGGCGTGGTAAAGTGTTTTGCGCTTCGCAAGGAAATTCTGATAAAACAGTCGTTGGCGAGATATTCGTGGTAGCGCGACGTTGGCGCGAGTTCTTTTAAGTGTTGTTAATGCTGCGTAAATAATACGCTACTTGCAGAACATCAAATCCAAAGAAATCTTCGAGATCGCGACTAACTGTATCTGCTTCATAAATGATTACTATAATTTGTACGCTATGTCATATATTTGTCATAAATACATTCAGGAACGCGTAAAATAAATTTTCCTCTCAGAATAAACACACTTATACCATATTTCTCAAAAAAGTATAATGACAATGCTCCAAATAATTAGGGAGTCGTTTCGCTCGAAAATGCCTTCGAACACACGCTCATATTATTAAATTCCCAATCTTTAATTCCCTTTCCTTAGCATTTCTGTTCCATTAAATGTAATCTCTAAAGATTGTATGATCTTCCAATTGTGTATCGCGAATATAAGCACACATTGAATGGATACTCGACGCGATAATCTCGAGAGATCGAGAGGCGCGATCGAATCGAAGTCGGCCGGTTTTGCAGCCTTCGTCTGTCACACACGCGCGTCTCCGCGCTACTCGTGTCTGCCAAGCGAACAAATACAAGAGGGAAAAAACTGCTGAAGGCAGTTCAGGCATTGAGAAGCGGTGTAGCAGAAGAGGCGGTGGTAAGCTCGGGGCACGTGGCGAGGATCACTCGGCGACGCACCGGATGCACGTGGCCCCAGTCGCCACCTCGGTAAGGTGGACGCTGGCAGAATGAACTTTAGGAAGTCGAGTCGCAGCCGAGTGTCACGCGCCGCCACTTCCGGCGTCAGTAAAGTTCGTAGGCAGCTAAGGCGGAAGCAGTCGACGAGAATCAGGAAATGCATGTGTCTGCCGTCTAATTACGCCCTTGTGGAGTTCCCTGTGGTCTGGTCCGAGCTCAGGTCCGTAATCGCGCGCTCACGTAATTAAGGCCTTCCCGCACGCGGCGAGGATCGTTAGCTCTCTCGTGGCTGTCGGGACAATGTGTAGTTTCTAGATAAAATCGCGCGAGCTTGTGAGATGTCGCGGAAAGTGTCCGGTTCGCTCTTGGATATTCGAGACAGCTTTCCCGTATTTTCTCTTTGTTACTTTATACCTTTCAAATGTAAAATAACATCCCACAGGACGAGAAGAAAGATATGAGAGAGAGAGAGAGAGAGAGAGAGAGAGAGAGAGAGAGAGAGAGAGAGGAGAGAGAAAGGAGTTAATCAATTTATTCAAACAATTTGATATTTTTTTCTCGTATAAAATACGAAACTAGTGCAGTTTGAGCTCATTTTGCTCTCCAAGAAATTTTAAATCTATCTTCTTCCTGTTATTAAACTAAATTATCGGCACTACAAGTTATATGTCGCTTGACATTTTATTTGTATTCAGGACACTCATTTTCTATTTCTGTTTCTGGTTTTTGTATATACACACTTACGGAATGTTATATAAATCATTAATTAAGAGGTATGGCAGTAGTTTTAGAATTATAACGGTGCTTTTAGAGCTAATCAGCAGCTGTGCGACGGTGTTATAAGATGCGCAGGGGATCAAGTCTTCCGAGTCCATCGCGCCATATTATCTGCGGTGAGCCCGTATTTCAAAGCCCTTTTCACTAACAGTCTAAAAGGCGGCAAAACTGAGACCACGGAAGTAGCTATCAGTTCCGTTCCCGGCGAGATCTTCAGCCTGATCCTCGACTATGCCTACACAGGCACATGTAATGTGAACGCCGATAATGTCGAGCAATTATTACCGTTCGCCGACCAGTTCGAAGTGCTCGGAATCGTCCAGCTCTGCTGTCAGTTTTTATTGCAAGAGTTACGACCGGATAATTGCTTAGGTAAATTATTTATCAAAATCATGAGGCGAGAAACATAAAAATTGCTCAATTGTCGAATGTACGCAATGTACGCAATGATGTATATTTTTCGACAAATTACACATAATTGTAAATGCTATGTTGAAGTTAACTTAAAATTTACCTATAATCCCTATTGAATGTAATACAACAGTCTGGAAGTTAAATTTCTCAAGTTCTAAATCATCATCTTGTGTAATGTTGATCTTTGAGAGCCACTTTCAAGATCAGCTGGCTCGCATCACGTTTATCTTGGATATAATTCGCATGTCGTCGTGCGCGTTCACGTGACCGCAGGTATCTTTAAATTCGCATGCCACTACTTCTGCCGTGATCTCGAGAAACAAGGCCGGAAGTACATACATCACCACTTCAAGCAGATACTGCAGGAGAGCGCGGAATTCAAGGATCTTCTTTGCGATGAGCTGGAGACGATATTGAGCAACGACGAGCTCAACGTTAAAAATGAGGAGATTGTGTTTGAAGCCATCAAGACATGGGTCGAGAACAGGCCCGAGGAAAGACGAGTCTATTTGCCCAGGTTGCTGGAATGCATACGTTACGGCCTCATGACTCATAAGTATTTCGTTAATAACGTCGTCAGCTGGAAGCTCGTCGAGGAGGATGAAGTAAGCACGCACCTTCGTCACTGTTGATCGTCGCATTTTGCTCCGGCTTCGCTTTGGTTTGCATAACAATGAACCTAAGCACGTAGTGCATGTATATGTAGTAGCAGTGCGTCTTATAGCGGAACAATCTCATACACGTAAAATATAAGCATGCCGTTAACGACAAGCACGTCGAGTCTGTGTATCGAAAACGTTTTCATTTCCGTCGAAAGGCGATTTTAATCGCGTTCGAATCTATTCGAACGTTTCAAGGCGTGCCAAAGAGTATTGTTGCCGGTGAATGCTTATTTAACCGAACAAGACTCAAAGCAGCATGGCGGGGAGATCGATCTGAGGAATCCCCTTGCGAGGCCGCGTGTACCACACGAAATTCTCTTCGCGATCGGCGGATGGAGCGCTGGCTCGCCGACCAATTTTGTGGAGACTTACGACACGAGGTGCGCCTAACGGCAAAGTCATATCGTGTAACGGAGATTTCCATAGAAATTGAAATTTAAGACCGTCTGAAAATATTGCCACGCATATATATGAGAAAGGGAGTGAGAAAAGACAGTTTAGGCTTAGCTTAAAAAAAAACAGATATGTAAATATTTTATATATGAAGAGAGAGAGAGAGAGAGAGAGAGAGAGAGAGAGAGTAACAGATTTTTTAACAAAAATTCGTAATGTTCTTGTGTTATAAAAAAAGATATTTATAGCATTTTATTAATCACAATTTTGCGAATTATTCCACTTGGTATAAATTTGATTTAATTTTGATAAATATTGCTATTTAGAACTATTTATTGTTAAATATTATGTCTTGAAGATGGGGGTGTATTTTTTACAATTCAGCTGAAAATCTGTCACTAAAGTAAGGTCGGAAATATTAGAATAGCGTGCATAAGATCGCATTGAGAGAACCCGAGAGCATACACTGAAGTAATTTTAAAGTCACAGGAGAGATACCGACCTTGCTCGAGCTTCGAACATTGTAGATAGAACGATATTGACGCCTCCGGAATCGTGTAACGTATCGAAACGTGAACTCTAGAGCTGACAGGTGGTTTCTATCAGTGAATATGGACGTAACGCCGAGAGCTTATCACGGATTATGCACCCTGAACAATCTCATCTACATGATCGGCGGATACGACGGTAACGAACACTTCAACACAGTCCGATGTTTTAACCCGGTGACGAAAGAATGGCAAGAACGAGCTTGTATGTATCACGCCAGGTGTTACGTCAGCGTTTGTACGCATGGTGAGTTCTAGAACGTAGACGAAAATATCTTGTCAACTTGTGTGCTTGATTATTATCCTCTATTGAGATTAAGACTCCTGGTTCCACTGCTGCTGAACTTGAAATTTATCACGTCAGAAACGAGAAAACACACATGTCAAAAATACTTGCGTATCATTTTCAAATAGATATTTATATGAAAGAATACTTTAGATTGTTTAAGTATACTTGTAAAATGCTCCGAAAACTATTATTTTCCTTTAGAGTAAATAGTTTTAAAATTAACGTGACGTGCAGCCTTCCTCTTTAATTTATCATTCTTCGTGATTTGACCAAATTAACTTTAAAGCTATTTATTGTGATTATCAAGGGAAAAGAATAGTTGTTGAAATATTTTACAAATATGCTCAAGCGGTCTGAAGTGTTGTTTCATTCAAATATCTTTTTATTTGGAAATAGAATTTCTGGCATGTGTTTTCTCTTTTCTGACCTCATTGATACAGGGTCTCACAGCAGCAGAACCAGAATCCTTAAAAAACATCCTAATATTGGCGTTAACGTGCGCAAATGTTAACATTTATTTCTATAGACTGGTCTTTAAGAGAAAAACAAAAAGATTTGTCCTCTCTCTTTCTCTGAAAGAAGCTAGGAAGATTTATTTCTGTAAAAGCTCGAGGAAGGATTCATTCTCCTCTTGCTCACCCTTCGTTCCTGTCTCAGGAAACTCACGTCGCATTCTCTTCGCGCGTTTAACCAAGATTATTTGTCTCGTCCGTTGCGCTATTGTCTATTTAACGCGCGTTCCCCGGACGATCGTTTAAGGCGGCAAGATTTACGCGCTTGGCGGATTCAACGGTCACGTGAGAACGAACACCGGTGAACGATATGAACCGCAGAAAAATCAGTGGGAGATGATTCCACCCATGCACCGACAACGATCAGACGCCAGCGCGGCTGCGCTCCACGACAAGATCTACATCGTCGGCGGCTTCAACGGCCTGGAGGTCCTCAACTCGGTCGAGGTCTTCGACGTGGAAACCAATCAATGGAGCAACCTCAACTTGATGATCAGTCCGCGATCCGGCGTCTCCCTCGTTGCGTTTCGCGACAGTCTCTACGCCTTCGGTGGGTTCAGCGGTGTCATGAGATTGAATTCCGGTTAGTACGGTTTGTTAGGGCTTAGTGCTTGGCATTTTTGAGCAATTCTTAATAATTTCGAGATCGAACTTTCAATTTTTCGGATTTCTCGGGCCTGAATGTCAAACTATACGAATTATTTGATCATATAACTTGTTCGAATATTCTAAGCTAACCTGAACTATCCCTTATCCGAAATCGTACGAAAAACTTTGACATTTTTTTACGACAATCTTAAAATATTGACTTCGCTTATTAACATTAGAATGCTCAGTGGACGATGTACAATTTTAACAGTCTGTTACAAGTGGAATGATAAAGTTACATTTTAATGATATTTCTATCCTGATAGATTATTGGAAAAACTATGTAGTTTATGTTAATGCTTATTAATTTATATAAGTTATTATTTTAAGCATAAACGTGCGTGCATACTTAATTATTAAAATCAAGCTTATGTAGGTGTATCATCTCATAGGATCACATTTGCGTTAGTAATTAATTAGTCATGTTCAAGGCAGTTTCGCGGAGCCCCGTGTGCATTTGTCAAGATTTAGCTTACAGTGAAATGTTTATCCAAGCAAATAGTAGCGATAGAAATAGTCTGTCCCGTTCTAACCACGCCGGTTACGTAATATCGTTTATGAGTTACCACGACAGTCGTAAACGTACTTTCTCTCTCTGTACCTGTGCGACTGCACGGTAAATATTTCCTGTACGAGTGTTTGAAATGGCAGACGCTTCGCGTACCGAAGAGCACCATTCGAAAAATACATATATATTTATTTTGCAGGGGAGCGCTACACTCCAAACCATTCCGACCAATGGCACGAAGTGTCGGAGATGTTTAGTCCACGCAGCAATTTCGCCACGGCGATACTCGACGATATGATTTTTGTCATTGGCGGTTACGACGGTATTTCTGAAAAATTATTGTCACTTCGATTTATAAACGAAACGCAACCTGGATATTATCGCGTTTAATAAATTTCCGGTAAATTTTCCAATAATACGTAAATTTCGGCCTGGACGATTTGCACAGTTTGCGATAAGATTCAGGGTGGAGTTCTATTTATTAGGAAACGTCCGGAGAGCCGGCATTAGATCTGTAGATGTGTGCATATATTTCGGGATCCAATACAATGCGTGCATGTGTGCATTTCAGGATCCAGTACAATCGCGTATGTCGAATGCTACGATGCGGATTACAACGAATGGTACGACGCATCCCCTATGAATCTCAATCGTAGCGCTGTCAGTGCCTGCGTGATATCCGGCTTAGCTAATGCGCGCGAGTATTCCTATCTGGGCAAAGCTCGGGATCTTGGTCAAGGTCGGTGTAACATACAAACAACACGGCGGTTTTTGTCGCGGATCTCAAAGGAGATGATTAAACCTCCGACCAACATACGCTCCCGGCGCCTTTATACATATTTACGATACACGTAACCGCACTTGATTCATAAGTCACTCTTTCTCCCTGGAAATTTTCGCGACGCGTACCAGTATGTCTAATCCGATTGCGAAGCACGCTCGAACGCTTCGTCAGTTATCGTAAAAGTGCCATGTGACTGCGTTAAAATATATTCGAGTCGAAATTCTTATCTCGATAAACTCTGTGGAAAAGCGCGTGGAAAATACACGGAAGACCATTTATTCGGAATTTTCTTGACGCGCCGTGTTCGTGACGCGCGACTTTTCACCTTTTCCGTACGAGAAGAGTCTTGACGGATTAAATATGCCGAGGTGACCTTTCAGGGCAGGCAACGTCAAAGAGTCAGGAGAAATCTGGTCAATCTGACGAGGTTTCTGCCGAGACCAACGTTATAATTGTGGATGAGGACGGGCAGATCAACGTAAGAGAGTTGATGGGCCCTACAGACGGTATGGCCGGCGGTATCGGAAATGTCTACAACGAGGACAACGATAACGACCAGGAGGTGATGCAGGACGAGCCGCTGTATGTTGTGCAAGAGTTCGATTAAACGTCGTTGGGGAAATTGAAGCATCGATCGACAAACATCGTGTCACTTTGCGGATTTTTGTGGACGCTGTTAGATAAGAAAACTTTGTACATTTGATTGAGGGGACAATCGATCTCAGAAATAGTAAATTAATATTGTAGTTGCTTTATCGAAAAACTTTCAAACGAATATACTTTTTTAGTAACACCTACAAATTTTTGAGAGAACACGATGTTGTCTTCAGTCAATTGACAATTCAATCGTCCGTGGAAAGATGCCGAAAATCGACGTTACGCAAGCACTCAAAAAGAGAAATGGATTCTTACTTTCCGCGGACAGAAAAAGCTTGAGCGTGTTTAATTGTTACATTGTTGTCAACAGTCAGGATAGGCTTCTTAAATCGTACAGCGAAGTCCCATTTGCTCGCGTGGAAACTGCGAGGAAACGACTCGCTGAGGGGAGAAAAAATAGCAGGTCCGCGGGTTGAATTAGAATTACGCGTTAGCGTGTTTTCGCAAGTTGTTTCCGCGTCTCTCGCGATTAACCGCAACACGGAAATTTTAATTGGCGCCAATTAATCTCGCGCGAATTAACTTTAACCGTTATTTTAGAAAGTATATTATTTTCTTTTTTACATCGATTTTTTTTCTTTTTTTATGAATTTACTTTCGAGCCGTGAAATTTGTAAAAGGATAAGAATTATACGCGCGCGATCGAACGTAATGCGCGATATGCACACGTGTGATATATGCAGACACGTACAGATTATTTTAGACTTGACAAAACCGGCGGGCGACTTTTATGCGCTGTGAACAATTATTTACACTTTTTGACGACGAGAGAAATGGCTAGGTGCGCGATATTTTACACCCGTGGCTAAGGCGATGTGTTATTTTTTATGGAGTTTCCCGTTTCTCTGCATGTATACACCAATATACACACATACACACCTATATATCTATACACACACGTATCTCAATGTCGACTTCCATTGAAGATATATCATGTGACCTTGTCATTTCAATCAAATTAAATCGGCCTCTTTATTCCAATATCTCGCCTCTTTATTGCGTCCTCAGCTGTAAGTACATCACGGCATAAACAATTTGACGTCTCGATCACGGTTTATCGATTATGCCTGTCGGGGGAATATTCTTTTTCAGTATTGGTGAATAACAATGATGTGGTGGCTTGAGATTTTTTATTAATCTATCTCTCATATATGTATATATGTAGATTTATTCATCTCTTACTCATCTTTTATACGTACTTATATATTATGTATAGTGTACACATTGTTACTTCTTCATTGGTGTTTCTCTTGTAACGACGACTGCGTCTCCTGTTAAATCCCGTTTGCAATACAGTTATGTTACGTACAGTCTCTCTTTCTCTCTTTCTCTCTCGCTCTTTTTCTCTCTCTTTCTTTCTCTCTCTCTCTCATTCTCTCGTAAGTGGCTCAATCGACGATCATGTAATATCGTTATTTAGTCGTACCCGGCTGTACGCGGTGTGCTCGATAGTGACGACGTAATTGGAATACGATAGCGAATTCTCCTTTTCCGAGTGTCGATGAAAGTTTCAATGCGTCGAGGTGGGAAAAGGAAGTCGTGGCCGGACTGGCAGTCTCTCAGACCCTCGACGCTCAACTTTCGTTCAGAGTCGTCTTTACGATTGCGACAATCGTCCTAGATTATGATTCTTTCATCTCTTTTATCATTATTATGATTATTATTATCATTATCATTATTATTATTATTAATATTATTATTATTAATATAGAGAAGAAGATAAGGACACGAGAGATAGGATGAGAAGTTGAGAAAGCGAATTCTTTGACTTCTCATTTAGATAAATATTAATATTTCGAATTTGTAATTTGCATTTAAATCGGTGGAGTGTTACTTATCGAGGACGCTTGGCGTCCTCAAATAGTCGTTAAATTCTCGCTCATTTACATTCGTGTTTTAGCTCTGATTGGTCCCCCTTTAGACGATTTATAATTCGCGATGGAGAATTCGGAGAGGATGTGGAATCCTATTTGCAATTTTACGCGTGCCCCGTAGACAACAGAAAACATCTGAAGATTTATCGATGCACGCGTTGCACAATTCTCTGATTATTCAAATGTCTCCTCGCAAATAGACTTCCGTAGTGAATTACAAATCGCCTAAAGTGGATTTTAAGGTCCGAGCAGAATCTGGCCAGTCCGATACGATTGGTTGCATGATCGCGCGACGTCAAAAATTTCGCTCGTCAATTCGCCACATTAATTGTTTCGCGAGGCCGTTGCAATTTGTCACGGAGAACTCGCTACATGTACCCGACGCCGTCCAGCCAGGGTGACGCCACGGGATGGAGAAAAAGGAATGAATACACGAGTGAATCGTAAATTACGCAAGAACACGTCCGCCAAAGGTGCAACAGTACGACTTAATGTTCTTGAAGATGTAGTCCGGTCCGAAGAAAATTCCTCTAAAACGTACCGAGAAACGGGACATGGAGGACACTCGCGATCGTGATCGCGATCGCAATGATGGCGACAACGACGACGACGGTCGCTTGTGTCCTCGATCGTTGCCCGATAAATTCCCCTAGAAAATCGCGCGCCTTAGGTGGTAAGTTAAAAACTTAAACTTACACGACGAGAGAGACGAGAGTACAAAGTCAATAATTCGCGACTAGAACGCTCGCAACGCGATCGTACAATTATAATGAAAAAACGACACGATATAGTTGAGCAAACAATAGGAGAGCAATAAAAGTTCCCTTAGATCCGTGTTCCTCGCGAAGAAGCGAATCTCGAAAGGCTCCCGAATCGAATCTCCGAGCTTACGTCCCCTTATGTCTTCCCGCTTCCCGTGGATTCGTAATCTTCCTTTCACGCACGACTCGCGACGAGTTGCTGACGGCGAACAAAGAGAAGAGACTGCCTCCCTGCCTGCCTGCCTGTCTGCCTGCCTGTCTGCCTGCCTGCCTGCCTGCCTGCCTGCCTGCCTGTCTCACTCGCGACCGATCGATGACGCGTGTGGGGCGTCATCGGCGAGATTTTTATTTGCAGTTGAGAGAAAAGCTTCTTTTAAAAGCGCGCGCGCGCGCGAGCAGCGCACACACACACACACACACATATACACGCGCGCACGCGCGCGCGGCGATGGCTATTTACCTGATAAACGTGTCGTCGTAGAGCGAAAATTTGATCGTGGAGATAGCCGTACCATAAATATCTCATTCGCACCGTGCACATTCACCGAGTTCATTAGCGACATACGAGCGCGTCATAAATCTCCGACGAAGGCCGGAGAAGTGTAGAGATGAACGTTATTCCAACTTTGAATCTCGTGATTAATGTTTTGCGGTGATTCAATTTCACTTCTGGGTTTCGCGCGACGAGTCGATTTTGCGCGGTGAAAATTGGGCGGCAGTACCACGAATGGAAGAAATCAAGACGCGTTTGTGCGAAAATTGACGAATGTACGTTCTCGAGGTTCGGCGAAAGAGCTTGTGCAGAATTTCACCGTCAGCCGGCCTCGCTTTGGTTTCATCGTTCGGCTTGCTTGACAAATATTAGACGCTATCAATTGTTTTACCGAATAACTAACTAACGCATTTATCAGATAAAGCCCATCTCGATGGTCGCACGGAACTCAGCTTGGATACGGATGAGATGACGGAGAGATGTTTCAGTATTACGCAGACTTTGTGCACCAGGTCCAACCTCTCACAGACGACTATCGACGCTCTGAATTCGAGGGGAATGAAAACAATTACCGGCGGCGGCGGCGGCGGCGGCGGCGGCGAGCTCGATAAAACGATACTCACGACGTGGTTACTATAAGACGGGATCCTTTTGCGCGTTTCAGCAAGTTTAACTTCCTGCATCAAACCAAAAAAGAATCTTGACCTCGTGACTATGAGATGGGAAGCCGCGCATGTCTGCCGAAAACACAATCGTTCGTAAGAACAATAAATATTTTTTTTCACGAATTGCTTCATCTTCTCGACGACTATTCCATAAGACATTTATAAGATTAGAAAAAGTGATCGGTGGCGTCAAAAATTTGTCCGCTTACCGCTTATTACGGCGTTGAGGACAGTCCGGGTAAAATTTTACGAATCGCTATCTTTTTACTTTCGCGTGTATTCTATGAACTCTTTTTCAGCCTGACGCAAAGTTGCACTTACTCGCGCAATTTTTAATCGTATTATTACTGACAGCTCACTGTTGTCCAGCGATATACATGTATGTATATGTTATACGACCGCAGTATACACGTTAACGATGGTCGCGGGTGGTCGTTTCATGACGTAGACGTTCGCGCGTTCTTACGTACGTAGATGAACGCTTACATCGAATGATACGGACTTATGCTCGACGTATATTACTCGTATTATCGAGAGCCGACGTATGACTCGCGTATGATTCGTTTAAACTCATGCGTTACGTTACAATGGGGAGTTGCTGTAAAAATCGTTATTTTCTAAGGACATTGTGCACATCCGCAGAGATTTGTAGCGCGACACAATATCGTGAAACGGAAAATTGCGAAGGACCGTGTATCTCGCGCACACATTTGTCTCGATAGGAGACACCTGTCGGGAAGGAAAATTGCAAAATGCGCGCTTACTCTCTTTCGAATTAGGTTTCGAAAAGATAGCGAAAGTGATATCGCGCTCTTGGAAAGTTTCTGCACCTTGGAAAATTTTATGTTTAGAAGAATTTCGTATTTTAAAATATGTGCGTTGCGATACTCGACTCTTGTGATTTTTCATCTCAGAATTGCTGATACAGGATAACACGGACGTCTCGTACTCTTCGTTGGTACAATTGCAACCTACGGTGGATAATATACCCAATAAGCAAAATGTCAGCAGTGAGTCAACGGATTGGATTCGATCGGAATGGTGTATCCATAACCATGTGTGTCCGTATTAGGCTTGTTTTGTCCACAGAGCTTGCTGATATAATTTGATAGCAAATTGCTGGCAGAAACCGAGCAGGGTATTTTTATGTTCCATTTAAATATATTAAAATGGTTATAGAACGACAAATCTTGTTCGGTTTTTGTCATCTGTCATCATACTCTGCTAGCAGATCTGACTGTATTTCTGCTGGCAATTTGTTGAGAAACTCACGACAGACACTGCGCAAAATCTGCTCGAGACTTGGTTGTCTGGATATATTTGCCAACATCGACTTGTTTGTATCGTTTTACATTGTTTAAGAACAGTTGGCTAATTCAATGTTGCACTAATTTTTCTCGATGAGTTTTGTAACGCATTCCGTATCCAATAGGAGAACTTTCAATTATTCAGTTTTTCAGTTATTCTCAGGAGATATCTTTTTCTTTCAGATACGGAATGCGTTGCAAAATTCATCGAGGGAAAATGCCTCTATCCTTAATCAGCCGATAGAACACTGAGAAAAAATTGTTTGGTATTTATAATTATATATTACATAGAGAAATAATTACTATAAATTATGGTTAAGAAAAAACCATTCCTTTTCATTAAATACTACTGTAATGTTAATGATAATAACCTTATATGCACATTATTACTAGCATTTTATTTGCAAAAAATATGTTCAAAAGTAACTATAATTTCAGTTAGATCAACCATTTCTTTTTTCTCAGTGTACTCGTTAACTGAAAATGCTCCACGTGCATAAGACTCACGAATCCAGCGTTTGCCCGCGAATTTTGGCTCTTTTAAAAGAATTTTTCTATTTCGAAGTACGAGACGTCATTTTCGCGGTGAATCATCACTATCATACGCCGCAGCTTGGTATACAGAGATATATACTTGTATCAGAAACATCCAATTGAATTGCAATGACAGAATGTGCGAATCTGAAATTCGCACGATCGGTTCACGACGGTGGCCGTGATTTTATTTATGTCCAACATGAAGTATCTCAGTAAAGTTAGACCTCGAAATTCTAAATGAGTGAATCATACATCGCGAAATCAAACGAACACTCGAGTTTCCGTCACTCAATCGGAGAGTTTCACAATTTTTCATTTCCAACCGTTGATAAATAAGAAAAGTTATCTCAACGCCTCTACATTTTGATTGAGAAAAGACCGAATCGCCCGAGGAATCAGTCGTTCAAATTAATGTCGGCGATTCCGGAACATCCTACGGACCTCGGAGTAACCGAGAAGATCGTCCACGTTCCTCAACGAGACGATCTCGACAGTCATGCGTAGCATTCGCGGGCACGACGCTTCGCGTTACCTCGCCGCACGATTTACAATTAATATAATGCTCTCTTCATCTCTCTTTCTCTCTCTTTCATTTCTTCTTTTTCTCTTTTCTTTTTCATCAATAGATTGTTCTGAGCAATTGAGATCTAGTATTGGAGGGATTTCATATACCTGAAATGTGTTTAGTCACTCCCGTCGCGTCCGTTTTTGCACTCCGGAATACTCTCCCGTCGCGTTTCAGGGCGCGAATCCTCGTTTCACTGCACTGAGACTGTATCGCAGAGACTCATTACGAATGAGATCCCGGTAAAACGCCGGTAAGACGCATTTTATCGCGACCCTACCGAGTCCTGCCGTTAACGTCGATCACGCTGATTAACGTCCCCCTCGCATCTCCTTTTCGGCGTGCCTCCGTCCTCAGCTGCTTCGCTTCGTGTCTCTCCGTTAACTTTTCGCCGGATTGCTCACCCCCCTTCCCCCCCTGGTCTCTCTTTCTCTCAGCATCGTATTCGGCACTCTCATCCATTCGCCGCACTCACCGCACTCAGCACTCACACTTATCTGAGGATAACAATTGACATGCGTTTCGTAACTTTCCTAGCGTCTAGACAATGTGTCGTTGCATTGTCTTTACTTTTATTATTATTAATATTATTATTATTATTATTGATTTTTTCCTTATTTTTTTTTATCATTTTCCCTTTAGCGCGCGTTGGTTGTACATCGCAGAGAACGTATTTGGCGACGAGGCCCTCGTTCTCCAAAGCTTCTTCGTCTTTCTCTTCTTTCCTCCCCTTTATTTTTTATCTCAAAAAAGAACGTCTCTGAATTTTCACGATCGCCGCGCATCCACATCGACGAATAATTCCTTTTGTCTTTTCTCTTTCACGATCGCGATTCGCCGACTGTTCCTCGCGATCGACGTTGACGAAGCTGACGCGCTTGACCACCATCATTCTCACTTCCTCTCACGATTGCTTCGCTTTACTTTGTCTTCACTAGGCCATACGCCAAACGCGTTGATCAGTTGTCGTTCCGATTTCGCGTGATTCGTGTACGTATGATCACTCACAGCGACAACGTATTAAATACTACAGTCTCTCTGTTATGTACTTAACTCAGTACTCGGAATTGCTTACGTTTTCGAGACGATTTTCGAGGACTGTGTCTACTTCTTTTGTCTCTGCCACTCGTTCGTCAAATCTCGTGGCTGACTGCCGCGACGTTTGGCCTCAGAACCGTCAATTTCCGAAGTCCAGCGGAACTCTCCTTAATTTCTAAAATCCTTATTGAAACTAATATATTTTATCGTTTCAATTATAATAATACAAATAGTGTAGTACTGATAGAAACATAATACTATATAGAAATAACACGCATATACATTCAGAGAAGAACATGGCAACTACAAAGAGACAACCATTTTGAATGTACAACGAATTTTGAGTGTAAAGAGAGAATTATAATGTATAATAAACTATTTTGTAGCTATATTGCAGCTAAAGCTTTAGTTGCGATAATTATAAAATAGTTTATTCAACTATAAAATAGTTTATTCAATTATAAAACTAACATTAATTTTACATACAAAATTCATACAGTTGTCACTTTATGGTGTGGCCATCGTCATGTCTTTTTTTCCGAGCGTAGAAAACTAGTTTTAGAAATTAGAGAAAGTTGCGTGGGTCTTGTGAAGTCGACGATCCTGAGGCTAAATGCGCCGCGACAGTATGTCGTGAGACGCGACAGGCGAGCAGGGTAGACAAAGGGAAGAAAGCAGGCGTAGTCTTCGAAAAAGTAATTCCGTGCAAAGACTTAAGTCTCGTGCTGTCCCGTATCTTCGAACATCTCTCTATGCGTCCTCTTGTCCCTTTTCCTCTCATTCTCTCTCTTTAAGTCGAAAAAGACTCTACTACTGCTACTACCACCACTGGAGAGTAGGCCCATTCCACGACTAGCTACACGGGTCCATTCTAACGAAAGATCCAAACGTACTCTCGATCAAGCGTCGCGAGTGTCGAATTCGATAAACGCGCATGCGACTCTTCGGCGTTCGCGATTACGCTCAGAGTATTTGGAAGATGACGATGTATCAACTAAACGACGATTCATGCTAAAATGCGATCGACGGCGTGCGTCGCACGTGTAAAAAAAGGAGATCGACTTGCCCCGCGCCTCGCGGGCCGATTCGTTTCTTTGAAAGAAAGCGGCCGGAAGCGACTAAAGCGAGGCGTCGCTCGATAGGACGTCTCTAATTACGCTAATCACACGCGATACGCTTCTCGACGCGCGTCCGAGCGTCCGAGCGTGATACTTTTGTGTCTCCTCTTTTCTCTTCTCTTTCTTTCGTTTTGTTTATAAGCTACAGTCTAATCAGTTCCTTTTTCTTTTCTTTCTTTTTTTTTTCGTGCGCTAGACAGTCCTTTCCTTATCTGAAGTATTTTAGTCCCGCCACCAGCAGGAACTTTTCGATGAAAAGCTCGGAGTCGAGGACGGCGATGTGCGCGGCTCGGCCTATCAGGGCGTTCGCCGTCGGCGGTAGAGCGTGGTGCACGTCGTACCTGACGAGACTGACGCCGGGCGCTGACATCACGGGGTACAGGATGTTGTGCACCATCTCGCGATACGCAGCACCTGAAAGAAAATGGACGCGCGTCAAGTTGACGTACTTTTAGTAATATCAGGCCTTTCTTTTCAACCGAACTGAATATTGCAAAAAATGGCAAAAAGTAAAACAGAGAAAATATCAGAGTAAAAATTTTTAAAATCTTGGATCATACAGAATTATGACCGAAATATATTTATCGAAAACTATGCGCGTAAGAAGAAGAAGAAAAGAAAATGGATCTCCACTGTTTAAGTAAAAAGACGATGAAGAGACGGTACCTTGATCAGTCGGATCTCGTACGGCGGCTTTACAGAGCTCAATTCGGGCAGAGTGCAGCGGTACGTATCGATCTTGAGCGCTCCCGCACAGCAGGACGTGTTTGAACTTCTGCAGATTGCTCTTCTGGCTTAAACGGAACATGAAGGAACGTCTCACGTCCGGCGAGTCCTTCATCGCTAATTGCAACAGAGATCCGGACTTCTTCCATTTTTGCATGAACCACATGCCTGCACGATTTAACGAAACGGTTATTATCGATCGAATTCTCGAAACGTCGAGGGAGGGAGAGACGAAGGAGCATTTGTCAGGCTTACCCGCGTTCACCAAACCGCTTGTGTTGTAAAGAGTGCCTAAATGAGGCCCGCTCAAACTGAGGAAGGTGTGTAAACGGGGGAGGAGCGGGCGCAGCTGCGGTCGCGTCAGGGCGCTCCGGATGATTATGGTCCCAAGAGAATGCCCGATGAAGCTCACCTTCGTCGGATTCAGGCCCGACGCCTCGATATGATAGAGAATTTCGGCCACCAGCCGGTCAGTCATTGTGTCAAAGTCGGAGAAGGTGTCGCCCTTTCGTACACAAGCGATATAACGATTCGATATTTTCTACTGAATATTTCTGGTCTTGAGTTTTATTTGAGGAATTATAGGTATTTGTCTCGGCGACATTAATATATTTGTAAGAGTAATATTTATTAATTTTTTACTAAAAATAATATGAAGATAATTAATACCGAACTATGAGATTACGCAGCATGAAGAGGATAAACAGGTATAAAAAATAATCCTCGAGCCAAGATTATGAATTTATGTTCTCACTTTTTTACCGTTGCGTCGGCGAGGTTTACCTGATTTCTCTCGGACATCAGGAAGTCCAAATGTGCTCCAGGCAGACCCAATTCCAGGTACGTCTTGACGAGACGGAGATCAGCGGCGTTACCGTCGAGACCGTGGACGCATATAATGAGGTGAGCGCCTTCCGGCGAGAAGAGCCGATACTCGTCGCTGATGTGGAAGTACGGCAGGGTCGAGGCCAGGCTCGGATAGTCACTAAGAGGCACATTCGATCTTAATGGATGAACCGACGACGAGTTCAGGAAGTCACCGTATCCGAAGGAATGGGCACGTTTATGTAAACGCAACTGTGCTTCCTTGCGTTCTCTAGAGGGGGATCAGGTAGACAGAGAGAGAGAAAACTTAACTACAAACGGAAAGACATACGAGAAACTGCGGAACAACGTGGAAGCGAACGCAAACGGGCATATCTAGCACACACCTAGCGAAGACGATACTTCAAGTCGTCAGACAAACGATGCGTTGGAGAACAATGCGGTTTGGACAAAAAAAAAAAAAAAAGAATAAGAAAAATTATCACTGAAGCGTAATTATAAATTTAACGAAGTCCCAGTGTGCGCGCAGCGTGACGTGGAATTGATTTTGAAACAGATGAATCGATAATTAGATTTTCAGGCTATAGTGTCGCTGCTACTTTGGATTTGATTCGCAAAATTAGGAGTAATAATTTAGAGTAAAACAAGCGTTCAGTTTTAAATATCAAACTCTCACGCGAATTTTATTTGTTTCGCAGCAATGACTGCGTTTCGCAAATTTCAAACGACGCTCGGCGAACACTGGGTTTAAGGAAGCAGTTCTAATCGGGAGGGCTGAACGCACGCGTCGTTACATGCGCGAGAGAACTCGCAGCATACCTATAAATCCTGCCGGAGAAGCTCATCTGTCGCTTGAACTCCTCTTTGCACTTTTTGAAATTGATAAAGTCATCCTGCGTGGACTGCAGCAGTTCTTTGCCTTCCTGATAGCAGTCCAGGCAGATATCCCTGGGGCTGAAGGTACTATCCCTGTCGCGGTCCCGGTTCCGCTGCGGGCTGCAAGGCGCCGTTTTATTCTGCTTTGGGCTCCTGGTCTGCTTCACCGTCTCGTACACGTGGTAAAGCAGATTGTCAATCGGCGCCGGCGGGTCGCGAAACTCCTCCGGCGGCGGTGGCTCGTCCTGAAACATCTTCGGTGGTGGCAGACGCACCTCCTCATATGAGTGTTCTTCCACGGTCTCCTTCGCGGGGCGCTCTTTGCGCGGCACGATCTTTGACAGTTTTTGCCGCAACTGCTCGCTCGACAGCTTGGCGTTGCGACGTTGCTCCGAGCTGGAAGTGTCGCCGCTACTGACCCACCCGGAGCACTCGGACGTGAGATTACTCGAGCTCGAGCTCGGGGTGGGGCTGCTGGGCCTGGTGGACGGTGGACTGAGAGGATTCGGGATCACCGGCAGATTGTTGCTCAAACTGTCCTTGCTGTCGCGTATCGGCATGCAAGGCAGAGAAACCGCGCTACGCGGCACCACCACCTTGTTCTGTGCCACTGGCACACTGGCGCATCGCAGTCTTTTTACATTCGGTGGCGGTACCACGACGCTCGACGTGTCCGATGGCGTGGTGCCGTTGGTCGTCGGCACCACCTCCATAGGCGACTTGATGGGTTCCATCTGAGAATAGAGGAAACAAATTGTAAATATAACACATCCGTATTACATATTCCTTACAAGCTTGTGTATCAGGAACTTGCAAAAATTTACCAGATTCTACATATATTTTTTTATTAATAAATAGTTTGTACCATATTTAGTGAAGTACATTGAAGTAGCCAACGTTTACCCATTGTTTTCTACCTTTTCTACCTTTCAGGTAATCGTCTGATTTCATATCTGTAAAACGACTCATCTTTCGAGTCGGTCACTGACTATTCGAGGAACTTTTGCTAGTTCCTAATATTTCGACTTGCTATTGTACCTTCAGGATGATTTTGTTATTGTTCTCCACTTCGAGGACGTTCGTCGTGGGTGTCGTAGGGGGATGACGATATTTAGGTAAAGGTGCGTCTGTGAGATCTTGATATCCTGGCGGTGGTGGGGCCGGTTTTCTATTTCTGTGACTGCACTTTTTGTTCTCCTCCACCGGATGGTCGGTGTCGAGAACGGGCGCGGAGTGCGGTCTCCTGTTGCGTTTGTCTCTCTTGCGCTCCATGCGTGATTCTCTCTTCGTTTCTAGCTTCAAAGGTATCACCTCATAGACCGGCTCCTGAGGCGTCTCCGCGTTCTTCTTCTCGCTTTGACCGCGCCGTGACTCCTTGTCGCCGTAATTCTGAGCCACTCCGTTGCGCGGTGATGATTTGACCGGTCGCTCTGTTCTTCTCCGTGGCCGATCTCGTCGGAAGTCGCAGCATTCGTTGCACTCCACCTCGTCAACGAGCCTTTCCGTGCTTTTCGGTCTCTTCGGCTTGTTCATCTCGTCGCGCGTTCGTCCACTGGTGCTGCCGTTCGTGCGGTAGAAGAACGAGTCCGTAATCGTCGCGTAACAGTTGGATTTCTTATTCAAAGGTTCCGCCAGGACCGAGTAGCTGTTGGTTAGCGCGCTGCCGTTCATAGACTCCGATATCTCGCGATTTCTATGCGCCTGTGACATCGACGTCTTACCGAGCGTATGATATCTGCGGCATTCGACGCCGTTGGACTGACTGTATTTGCCTCCTGCCTGATGTCCAGACTTCCGGTAGTTTCCCCGGTAAGTCACCCTGTCCAGTGTCGCGGTGTGCAGTGGTTGAGGATCCTGCAGGAAGCTGTCGCCATTTACGTTAGCCTTGGCGGATAAAAAGCTACTTTGGTCGTTAGTGGTCGTTGGCAGCGGTTGGCGTGTCCCCAGACGATGGCTTCGCGGCTCCAGCAGGTTTCGTATCCTCCTGGTGTCGAGTGAATGATAGTCTGCACAAAGCACAAACTCGTTGACAAACTAGTCAACTATTTTGTGTATATAGTTAACGAGAGAGAATAAATGTATCTTCAGATAATACAATTAGACAAATTTACCTAATATAATGAATTGCTAGAAAAATGTTATTTCATCTGTGCTTTTTCTTGCTTAGATGAAAGCTTAAGGAAATTAAGAACAGATTTCTCGCGAGTCTACGCAAGTCATCGCATTTTATCGTACCTTCCATGATATTTGACTTTTTCTCCGTTAAGCAGTCGGGCAACTGGTCAGGATCCAATGCGCTCATGCAGGTCGGCACCGTGAGATTCTGATCGCAGGATTTGGACGACGGTCGGTAACCGGGTAAATGCCCGCCGGGCGGCAATTCGGGAAACATCGCGGCCAACAGCGAGGTAATGGAAGTGGATTGGTGATCGGACTGTTGCTGATGCTGTTGGTGCCGGTTCGGTACCAGCATCTGCGTGGACTTAGCCCGAGGTAAAGGGATCACCGGCGTGGAGCCGAGGGATGGATTTGGCGCGGAACAAGCCTGCTGACCCGACGGCGGGAAGAGGGTAGCACTGGACGGCACTGTCGACCTGGGTCTTCCTCTGGAAGGCACCGTCGCGGGCGGAGTGACGTTGCGACCGCCACCGCGCTGCCGCGGAAACAGCTGGGTCGACACGGACCTCGGTAGAGTCTTCGGCGACGTTCTGGGTTGCAGAGGCACCAGATCGGGCCCCAGCTGGTCCAAGGACTTGCTATGCCTCGCAGGGAGCGTGGAGGGCGTCAGCGTGAGGCGAACTTGGATCGACCCGATGTCCTGCGCCGCGCCTTCGCTCCTGGGTGACCAGATGCCCATCGAGCGCGACTCCAGTATCGCCGCTATTCCGCAGCTGCAGTCGTCCATGTTGGGAACTGAGGCAAATATTCAATATAAGGAGAAAGTCTGGAGGATTGGACTTTTTCTTTTCGTAAAAACGTATCGCGTGTCGTGTCGCTATGTATTTTTTACCCACCGCTGTTTCTGTGCCTTTGCTGCATGTCAGCGTACTGATCCTCAAAGATCAAAGGCAACGAGTGAAGATCACCGTCCATCTCCGGACAATGGACAGGCAACGGTGGCAGCGACGCGAGATAACGCGATCGCCGGGCGGCCTCGCTCACTGCCTGGTAAGACTGATAGTTCGCGTCGTAACAGCCCGCTGCCGACGTTCTGGGGTTCTCCAATACGAAGAAACCCTCCGCGAAACGCTTTACCTGCAGATTAATAATCAGTCAATTAGGTAATCGCCGATAAATGATGAAAGAACGATCATCTTGAGTGTTTTTGAGCCGCTCACTCTCAATTGATGATGAATTCGCGCTAAATGCTGATGAACCGCTTCTCGGCCGGAGAACGCCTCCAGGAAGTGCTGCCAGAGGACAATATTTTGTGCACAGAGTTGGGCTATGTCAGCCTCCTCAGTGTCCATCAGCTGCAAACAATAGACAAAGGCTTGGAAGAGTTATCCGCGAATTGAGAGCGCACGGGGCAGCGGCTTTTGGGGAGTCATACCTTCGTAATCTCTTTGTGCGTGTTCTGTGCGAGCTCGAGCGCCCTTTGTTGCCAAGAAGGGAGCAGCCGCGCCAAGTCGGACAAGTCGTTGAGCAAAGATTCCCTCGCTGCCAGAAGCAATCTCGTGACTTCCTGCTGCACCAATCTCGCGTGTTGCATCCTCGTCGTCGATCCGACGCATCTTGTAGTGGACTCCTGAAATGACACGCAGACTTGGATTTATTAGACAACGATGACGACGATTCGTCGAGACTCGTTTCGCGCAAACTCACAATATTCCCGAAGGTCGTCGAACTATTGTCGCCGTTCGCCGGGGATTGTTTAAACTGCAGCCAGGGTTTCCCGCCTCGCGGTGCGCTGTAATCGTGATAAGTCGGATTAAATGCGTAGTTCGCTTCTCAAACGACTAATTCTTACGATAAACATATGATCATTAAATTATTTTTGTTTTTAACAAATGTATTAAAACAACGAATCGCTATTAAATTTCTTGTACCAAAGTTCTGTCAATGTGTATTTACAGAAATTATTTAGCGACGATTTATTTACTGCAATCTAGATTTTTTCTCACGCAAAAATCGCGACGCACTTATATTTATCGGCATTGCTCTCGCGTTAACGTATTATTTCTTCAAAATAATCAACGTATTGATCTCAAGCTCAAGATCGATTCGATCGGATTCGGTAGTTCGGAACGAAGGTAACGTAAATCTCAGGAAAATCGCAGGAAAATCACTGGAAAAGTTCCGAACGTCTTTAAAGTGCCGGGAACTCACCAGCTCTGCACGTAGTGCAGTATGCTCTTCCTGCGTTCCGCGCGAGGGACGAAAGCGACCATAAAACAGAGAGAGAAAGGTTCTCGTGAGGGACAACGTCGATTATATCGCGCGGTATATTTCGAGAGTTACGAAATGCGAGCGCGATCGAGCGATACTGACTTGATGTAGGGCTGATGAAGTGCCACGAGGCAGGCGTGGATCGTGATGGACACCGCGGCAAGGTGAAAGTAATCGAAGAGCACCGGCAGATGGTAGTGAAGGCCCTTCGTGGGTGTGAAATTCAGCTGCAGCGCCCTGCAAAAAGGAACGTCCGTCAAAGCTCCGATCGATCACGCGTACGAGGACAGCGATTCGGTCGAAATCGCAATCGGTCACCCCGGCGCAATCTCAACATGTATTTGTGGACAGGTGTCTAATAGATGTCCAAAAGACGTTTTTGAAAGATGACGACGCAACTTCGCGACGTGTATACGTTAGAGAAATTACGTTATGGCACGGTAATTCTGTCGTTCGGGGCTTCTGTGCAAGTTTCTTTTACTGTATCTTGCCGGTGGCAATCAGTCTCGGGAACTCGACGGGAAAGCCACTTAAGGACGTGTGCCACGTTCAGAAGGAAGCGCGCTATAATTGCGAGCGTCGCGAGCCAGCTTCGCCGGCGCAATCTGCACATCCGGTACATTAGGGTTGCTCGTTATTAGAGGACACGAGAGACGGAACTGTGAAACGAGGGAAAGCACGTGCTATCCCTTGGGCTTTCTAGTGCTGGCGACATCATCCCTTGAATATTTTAAGATTAGTAATTTAAGTTTCAAAAACATCTTTTCAGAACGAAGTTACGCTTACACACCAACACATGCATACAAATATCCTCTTTATATTAATTTTCTTCATCAAAAAGTAAATGAAGATTCTCTCTGTCCTCCCCTTCTGAAATCGTGCGTCATTATCATACAATAATTACTCGCGAGATAATCGTGCCGAATAAGAATGCAAAATGACCGTAATGAATAAATAGCACAATCTAATCTGCAATTTCACTTTAATCTCAAATCCACCGTTGGCCTACTTCCCTAATAAATGAAAATGCTTATGTAATTAAATAATAATTAAAATTGTTCCTACATCTTGCTAAAAGGAAGCGACACAGGCGAGAGATAAAAGGATTAACGCGGTCGGCCGCGGTTGTCCCGTTTGCTCGCGGGACAGCCTGTGCCTTTGCCGCCGCTAGAATAGTAATGTGCCGACGCCCATGTAGGATGGGAAGACGCTCACCTCGAGGACACGCAGGCCATGTTGCCCGGCTGTGTCGGCTCGCTGAACCATAGCTCGACGCCCAGATTGAAGTGGGTGCGCGACAGGGCCTCCTCGATCTTGTGACTGTGCACGAGCACGTGAGCCCGGAACAGCACGGAGGTACCGAGTGTCACCTCCTCGTTCCTGTAGAGTATCTGAAAGCGCTTGCTCGTACCCGGCGCCTCCAGGGAGTCTGCAACACAGTCAGATGCGTGTCTCTCACCGAATTCCCCGTTTCTCAGTCCCGAGAACATAGGGGGCTAAATCGATCTTGTGAGGCAAATGGACTCGAGGAGCCGGGCTAAATGAATCCGGCCAGTATTTCGATCGCGTGATACGACTCGAAGAACTTTCGGCGGCGAGAAACGCGTGAGAGATCGCGATTCTCACGCGATGCTCGCGTAAGAAATGAAAGTATCATGAAGCACGAGGTGTGTTTAAGAGAGACGTTGTGGAACATAAGACTGGAAGGTCTTTGAGATAAATTCGACGCGCCGCGATATAGATATTTCTGTTTACCAAGTGAATTAATTTTCGCGAAATTATTGCCGGTGGGAGTCACGAGAGGAATTCTCTCACGTGACTCTCGACGGCAACGATAGCGTAGCGAACGGAATGAAATGAGCCGAGCTTTGCTTTGTGTTGCTTCGCTTGCGAGCTTACGATTTCGTGGTTGATTGATCTCCACTTTGACCGGCAGCTTCGGCGACACTCTGAGAGCAGTTCGGATTTGATAATATCTGAAACATAGAAATCTCTTATAGAGATAATTCTCGAGCGCCCCCCGACAGTTGACCGCGATATTTTTCGACAGTGAGTCTGCGGTAATTTGAAGATACACTAGAAGCTGAATCTCACCCTCGTTGGAAGAGGTCAACATTGTAGAACTTGCAGAGCTCGAGAGAGAACTCGAGGGTGGCCTGTAGATCGCTCATCTCGATCCTCGCGATGGAAGGAACCACCCCCGGCTCGCGCTTCCCTAGCACAGCCCCTAATCGCACGAAGACCAGCTTCGCCCACCGCGATGAGTAGCGAGCACGAAATCTTCAGGACCTTGCCGAATCTCTCGGCTCGCTCCTGCCATCCTGGGGAGGGATTTCAGCGCCGCAGGTCTTCTGAAACGACATTCAAGCGCTCGATTCGCGGGCATAGTTCTGTTGGGAACGGTAAAAATAAAAATTGCAACAGTAGAAGTAAAATTTCCGCAACATTGAAAGTCAATTCGTAGGACTAAAAGCGTACACACCAAGTGTACAAAAGCGAACAATTCTCGGATCAATATTATTTCAGAATGGTTACGAGAAGCGAAGCTGTCATATATTATTAGTGACTATAATTAATATGCGAACAACAAGGCAATATCTCGACACCCCAGCGTTTTAATATTGATACGAGTCGTGCGCAGTTCCGCAAAATATTTGATGGCTCCTCATTGCCAAGGACGCCCGAAGACAGGCCGTGTATGCGCGAAGGTGCCTTCATATTTCAAGATGTACGCCGGGAAGAGTGGAAGCCATAACCGTCTTGTTAAAGTTTCATGGTTACCTGTGTGATATTCGCCCGTTCCACGGCGATAAAAACATCGGCGTGAGCGTACCTACGTTTGCGTGCGCCATAAATAAATCGACGACGCCCGACTTAGCCGCGGTCGAATTTAGTCCGGCGCGGCCGCTCGGTCAATTAATTCCCAAACAGCGTGTATACGCGCCATAGATTGCGCCCCCCGCAACGTTTATAACAATAAACACTCAAACGATAAAAGTACAACGACCGGATATAGACATAGGAGGATACATGACAGCGCGACGACATGTCGGAGAGAGTAAGAGAGGAGCGGTTAAATAAATCCCGCCGTTTGCGTGTGCGAATCGATACACCGAAGGTCGTAGTAGTCCGCCGTCGCTTTGATGCTCAAGCGATGCTCATAGTTCCGGAAAGTATCTCACGCCGATCTGCGTTTCACTGTCAAGGACGGTCAAAAGCGTGCACGCGAGTGCAATTATCCTCGTCCACCTCCCCGCTTCGTCCGCGTGGGGATCAATGGCCCGTTCGTACGTAACTTAATTTCCCGGAGAACGGGGATAAGTGCCGTGGCATAAGCGTAATGGAAGTTCAAACCGCGGATGTTGAGAGCTAAACGGTTTTCATGAATAAAGCTGCAAAAATGGAAGTGGCGAAATCTAGCGTCGTCTGCGCGTTAATTAAGTCTGCACTTCGCTGCTGCAACGAAAATGACCCGGCAAGATGATATTTGATATTTTACAAAATTAAACGTAGCAAACGATGGTACTCTCGTCGAAAAGCCGATTTCAAATTCGTCAGTATCTTCTCTAGCTGCGTTCCTTATATATTCTCCGTATATTTTACTTAGGATTACAGTTCTTTCTGACACAGCTATGTTTGCCTCCGTTTATCGACCGCGCATTTTTATTGTTTTGTCTCTTGCATGATGTAAAAATACCCACGCTGTAGTTTATTGCCTTTGACATGCTGCTCTACCGTTCGCGAAGATAATTAATCACTAAGGAAAGCACAAATAGCGACACCGATATATCATTTGGGTGAAATCCTGACAATTGTAGGAAAATATGATCGCCGATAAGTCAGTCGAATCCGGCAGACTCGCATAATCCGAATGCCTCATTACGTATTTCGCTCTGTGTGCCTCTTTATTATTCCCTTCCGAGGTAACGGATTATACACGCTCGATCGTTTCATCGCGACAATCTCCGGCACGCACGGGAAGCCCTGTCCTGAACTGTGCTTAGGGGGAAACTTTCTTAATTTACGCTCGTCGATATCCCCAAGGCCGATGTATTTCCTCGACGTGCACCATGCTCACGGTCCCGGAAAGTGCTCCTTGGCGAACGCACTCCATTGCCAAGGCCGCTCAAAGGCTGCGTCGCGCACTCGGCCGCCTCTTTCTGGCGCTTTAAAATAAGAAGATGAACGGCACCCTCTTAACACACGGCCGACACACAGGCGTCTCTTTGTAGCGCTTTTTTACGCGCGAGAAAAAGAATATGACGGGGAGATCGACTAGTGTTTGTGTTGCATAAATAAAAATCTCATCGAGATTTTCTCGTAATTTATATCGCGAGAAAATGTACCTCTCATATAAATAATACACGTTAAATTTTCGCTTGTACTATATATCAACTTGTTATAATTTATATATCTTCCATTTTTCTAAAAAAGGAGTGTTAACCAAATTCGAGTATTACAAAGATTTCGAGCGATCTAGCAATGGAGAGAGAGAGCGAGAGAGCGAGAGGAAGATAAAGAGAGAAGGAAAGGAAGAAGGAGCGATAGCAGGAGATATTAAAGTTTTCTTGCGATTTTCGATTTTATGATTGTTAATATTACGTATTACGATTAATATTTATGGCACGAACTGAATGACGAGCGCGCCTGTATCGTTCTGGTTTTCATAAAATGTCAACGAATGGAACTCTGCACGCACGTTTTGATGAATTGCTGCACAATCGAAAGAACTTTCGGTTCGCGACATTTGTACCGACGTTACAATGTCGGACAACGTCAAGACGCCCAACGGCGTCAACTGCGTAAATTGTCCGCAAGTACCCTCGATCGCGCCCTTGTGTTCTCGCGAGGCTTGTGCTTTAACGCGCGCGACTAATACCAGAATCTCTCGTCGTCGTTCGCGTCAGTGCCAAGGCCGCTCGAAGGCCCGGTATAACCCGGAAGCCGGCTTTTCCAGCACATTTATCCATCCAGCGCAAGGATCAACGACCCCGTCTCGCATTGGGGTTGAAACGCAGAGAGAGGTCGTTATGATGGCGCCCGCCGTCATCCTGAGGAGCAGCCCTGCCTGCTCCGGATTATCGTACGAACAATATTGGAAGTCCCAACTTGAAACCCAGAATCATATCTCGCTCGCTGTGTATTTCTCCGACTGTGTATAACTCCCACGTTTCCAGATACATCGCGCAAGAAGGGAGGAAAGTTTAATCAGAATCGCGAACCATCCGAAACCGCGTAACTCTCTGGATCTATCATCCGCCAGGTTGAGAGAGAAGACGCTGAAAATTTCGTCTCCTTTTTCCTATAAACCGCGCGGGAGTGCTTCACCAGTTACTCCCAACTTTTGCAGTTTAAGCAGAGAGAGAGAGAGAGAGAGAGAGAGAGAGAGAGAGAGAGAGAGAGAGAGAGAGAGA